TGAGGACTTGGTCACAACATTTTTGCCTAAGCCAGTGTCCAAAAGACTTTTTTCCTAGATTTTCTTCTAGGATTCTTAGAGTTTTAGGTCGTATGTTTAAGTCTTTAATCCAGCTTTCTCTTTCTAACTGGCCTTGGGCACTGGAAGCATGAAGGTTGGAACTATTTCCACCACCTGCTACCTTACAGAGCAAAACCCCCTCCCTAGAGGTTGTCTGGCTCCTGATAACATGATCTGACTCTGCTCAAGCTTTTTGCCGTGATGTTTTTCATCAATTTGAGTCAGGAAAATTGTTTTTCTGCTTAAACCTGTTTGGATTGGGAGTTTCGTCACTTGGAACCAAAGAATTCCTAATCAGTAGATGGCCTGAAAGACACTGGACATTAGGAAAACTCTCAAACCATGTTTTTCCCTCTGCTCTCATACTATAACAGTCATCAACACAGAAGAAGACTTCTGTGACCAAATGTGGGGGTTTCTCCTCACCATCAAGCAGCAGACACCAGCTGGGTGTCCTGACAACCCAGAGAGAGTGTCTGATCCCTCAGGCTGAGGCCTTCAAGACTTCCCTCCTTCTTTCCCCCTCCCAGCATTGCAAGTCCAGGCCTCTGGAACTTGTGACCAACTGGCTTCAAGTCAGGGTCCCCCACACCTCTCCTTGGGTTCCATTAACTTGCTAGAGTGGCTCACAGAACTCAGGGAAACACTTATATTTACTAGTTTATTAAGAGGGATACTTAAACAAAATTTTTTTATTACCCAGCTCGGGGCCTTACACACCAGGCCTCAGAAGGACACCAAGCTCTGGGGTCAGGAAGTAATGACTGGATTGGGTCTTGGTTTAACAGGGAGTTTGGGCATGCTACTTACTGTTTCAACCTCAATTTTCGTATCTATAAAATAAAGACAATAATAAAATAGCTTCCTCTTGGGGTTCTATTGGGAAGTTAATGAGACTAGTAATGTTAGCTTAAAATATCCCAGCGGTACCTTCAAAATGTTAGGTGAGACCTGCTGGGGGCGGGGAGAGGGTGTCTGTGATCTGATGTCATGTGTAAGAATCAAAGAATTACATTTATATTGGAAAATATAGTCTACTTAAAAAGTAAGTTGAACCGGGCTCAGTGGCTCAGCCTGTAATCCCGCGCCTTGGGAGGCCGAGGTGAGTGGATTGCCTGAGCCCGTGGGTTCGAGACCCGCCTGGGCAACTTGGCGAGACCTCATCTCTACAATAAATCAAAAATTAGCCGGGCGTGGTAGCGCGCGCCTGTAGTTCCAGCTACTCGGAAGGCTGAGGCGGAAGGATCGCCGGAGCCCAGTAGGTCGAGGCTGCGGTGGCCAGGAGTGGCCACTGCACTCCAGTCTGGGTGACAGAGTGAGACTCCAACTCAAAAAAAAAACAAAAAAAAAGTCAGTTGAAGAGAGAGAAGATTCACTTCCCCAAGGTAGGGGAGGAGGCCAAAGCTAAGAAACATGGCGGCCATAGCTCAAAGCGCACCTGACCTGGTCAGTACTTAACAAAACAATGACCCAAGAAGGATATTTTAAAGGACACAGATAAGCAGGCCAGATGAAGGGATATGCAGGGCGAGGCCTGGAGGGATCCTGAGGGCGGGAGCTTCTGTCCCCGTGGAGTTGGGGCGCACCTCTCTCAGCACGTGGATGAGTCCTTCTTCACCTTCCCTTCAGCATCCAAATATCCAGCTCTTTGGAAACTCTCTGAACCCAGTCCTCTTGGGATTTTATGGAAGCTTCATGACATCAGCATTCCTTCCCGCACTGTATAGGGTAGAACCCTCTTTGGGAAAGTCCTACAACCCACCATCAGAAGGCAGGTGGAGAGGATCATAGTCCTACCTTGGGGCAGGTGACAGGAGGGCAGGAGAAGGTTGGAGAGATTCTATTGCTGAGGCCTGGCACACCAGCATCGTAACAAAAGCCTGTCATGAGGGCCATGGGGGTTAAACTAGGAACTGTGGGTGAAAGTCAGTACTCAGCATCACACCACAGATGTGTTTTGCCTTTTTCTCCCTGTTTCCCTTTTGCACAGGCTGAAGTTATTTCCTTGGGCTCTTAGGATGATGTAAATGTGTGTTCTCTGACCCCAAGCAGGAAATCAGTGAGAAGGTGATAGGCAGCAGTGATTGTCAAAGCAGATTTTGTGGTTTGGGGAGTTAGGGCATCTAAGACTTGCTCAGTGACTTGTGGAATGCCTGTAATGTCATGTAATAATTTCTCTACACCTCAGTTTTCTCCGTGGAAAATCAGGATAATATTTGCCACACCACCTAGACAAGAGGGAACTGATAAGAATGTGTCTAGTACTTTGTACTTCGATATTATTTCCCAACGTGATAACATTTGACCATGTCAACCTGTGGTTTTCTGTATTTCTCAGTCACTAGACTGACCTAACCAGTAGTGAAGAAGGTAGACTAAGGAGGTTCCTACCTTTGAGAGATCACAGAGGAAGAAGATTAATGTCCACGCTCATGAGGCCTTCAATGAGCATCTAACTTCACTGCAATCAATTTTTTTATTTTTTATTTTTATTTTATTTTATTTTATTTTTTGAGTGGGAGTCTCAGTCTGTCGCCCAGACTGGAGTGCAATGGCCGCTTCTGGCCACCGCAGCCTCGCCTGCTGGGCTCCGGCGATCCTTCCACCTCAGCCTTCCGAGTAGCCGGAATTACAGGCATGTGCTACCACGCCCGGCTGATTTTTTTGATTTATTGTAGAGATGAGGTCTTGCTGCCCAGGCGGGTCTCGAACCCGCGGCCTCAGGCAATCCACTCACCTCAGCCTCCCAAAGCGTGGGATTACAGGCTGAGCCACCAAGCCCAGCTAATTGTTTTATGTATTTCAATAGTTTTAGGGGGTGCAAATAGTTTTTGGTCACGTGGTTGCATTGTACAGTGGCAAAGAAATCTGGGCTTCAAGTGTACCCATCACCCCCCGTGCATATTGTACCCAGTAGGTGATTTTTTGTCCCTCTACCCCTTTCCCCCTCCCCCTTCTGCATCTCCAGTGTCCATGACAGCACTCTCAATGCCTCTGCAGACCCTTAGCTGAGCTCCCACTTGTGAGAACTTGCGGTGTTTGGTTTTCTGTTCCTGAGTTAGTTCACTTGGGATGATGGTCTCTAATTCAGCCCAGTTGCCACAAAAGACATTATGTTATTCTTTTTGATAGCTAGATCGTATTTGGTGTGTGTGTGTGTGTGTGTACATACCATATTTTCATTATCCATTGGTTGGTTGATGGGCATTTAGGTTGATTCCACATCTTTGAAATTGTGAATTGTGCTGTGATGAACATACAGATGAAGGTGTCTTTGTTACATAACGACCTCTGTTCCTTTGGGCAGGTCCCTAGTAGTGTGGGATTGCTGGATCCGCATCAATAATCTTTCATGTCCAAGAGGCCAAATAGTAAGCTTCCATTCTTTCTGCTCTGTGGATTTCACAAAGGAGGTCTCTGGACTTGAACTTTTCTTTTTTTTTCTTCTCTTTTTTTATTTTTAAGAAGCCAAAGATGACCCAATGATGGACTTGAACTTTTCAAAAATGCATTCTCCTCTTTACAAGATTGATTTTTCTATAAATCTGTGTTTATACTTACCTGACTGAAGAAAGAAAAACCTGGATGTTTAAATAGCTACATTTTCCACAATAAAGAAAAGACCTCCCAGAGACATTAAGAAAAATGAAACCAATCCAGCAAAGATATAAACCATTTACTTTTTTTCCATTCCTAACATAGATGTGAATGTATTGGTTGATTTGATATTAAAAATTGTGCTTTTACAAAATCACCTTGGATAATATACTACATTTATTAAAATGCATAAAAACTATTGCTAAAAATCCTGTTGATAAATCCTATGCTGGTCAACCTAACACTTGTTTTCAAAGGCACTTGTGATGATTTTTCAGTTTCCATAGTTGCAAAGAACTAAGAAAGCAACTTGGAACAGGAGTGGAATCTGACCAGAATAATCCAAAAAATACTTGTCTATATCTTTACAGACTCACAGATTGCTTGACATTTTAGGGGAGCTTACATTGTATACCTACTTATCCACGGTTTTCCTAATTGCAGCGGGCCTTTTCCTTGCCTGCAATCTACTGTACTCAGTAAACTATGTGCTAGAGAATAAAGCAAATGAACCCAAGAACCTTAACTGCCTCAAATAGCTTTATGGGTATACTCAAGTGTCAAGTACAATTTTATCTTAAGAACTGAGGACTGGAATTTAGGAAAACAAACTTCAGTGGAACACTGGAATCAAAGACATAATAAAGCTGGGCAAAACTAGGTGTGGCAGCCTGGGACATTAATTCCAAAAGCCAGACCAGTGACACTAATAACAACAAACAGGTTCAGATTTCCTTTTCAGAGGATCTGTGCTATTTAGACTTGGATTTTCAATTAGTTAGTATTTCTCTAATCCGTCCGTAAATTATTTAATATTTATTTATTGAGTTGGAGTCTTACTCTGTTGCCCAGGCTGGAGTGCAGTGGCATATTCAGGGCCACCTTCATCTGTTGGGCTCAGCTGTAGCTGGGATTACAAGTGCATGCCAGTATGCCCAGCTAATTTTTTTATTTACTGTAGAGATGAGGTCTCACCAAGTTGCCCAGGCTAGTCTCAAACCCCTGGGCTCAGGCAATCTTCTTGCCTCTGCCTCCCAAAGTGTTGGGGTTATAGGCCTGAGCCACCACACCCTAACTGGTCTCTTTTTTAAGTCTTCTTTTGAGTGATTTAACTGCTTCTTAGCATCAGGCTCTCAAAGAGGAGGTGAAATTAAACTCTGTTGGGTAACTATTCAAATAAGAACATTGGAAACAATTTCAAGTCAACGAATAAAGTAAGGTTTGGGGACAATGGTGGACTTCAATCATGCATGCCCACGTCTCCTTTGAAGGGGGGCATTCCCATCCACGGCCCTGCCACCCCGAAGGCGCCCATCTCGGCTATAGGGGGAGTTCCAAGCTGGTTTTTTTTGTTTGGTTTGGGTTTTAATTCTTTGGGAGACAACAGAAAATGGCTAAATAGGATATAATAGAAGATTTTAAGGATGAAATTCAACTTTACCTAAACACAAGGGGTTTCCTTCTTCCAATCAGTATTTTAAGGGCAAAACTGAAGCCTTGCGTTCTGTGAGTTCTTGCACTTCCCCCCCCGCTACTTCACAGCATACCCATAGATGTGGGGGCGCACCAGCTCCCAGGACAGGGGGGCCTGAATGTGTTGCAGCTTCAGCTTGGAGAAGCTGGCCCGTTCCAGGGCCTTCCAACTCTCTCTGGTCAGATTGCACCCATCAAACAGAAGGTACCAGACGGGATCCAAGACCTGTTGCCAGAAGGAATTCCAGGTAGAGCGCTCAGCTGCCACGTGCTCCATGAAATAAAAAGCCCCTCCCTGAGTAAGAAAAAAAAAAGGTATTTCAGGGATTTTCATTTTGGGAAAACAGATTTATAAGGTGACTGACGGTTCATACTTCAGTGGCCCCAGGGGCCAACTTCTTGAGAAGACATGGATAGGTTAAGACTTCCTGCGACATCATCTTGGTCTTCTGTCAAATCTTACACAGAGCTACCAAAGCAAGGCAATTAATACATACTTTCTGATCATAAAAGTCATGCATAATAATTACTAGCACTTAAAGCATTTACCGCATGCCAAGTGCTAGCCTTAATACTTACCACGTGTCAACTTAATCCTTGCCACCATGTTATTTGGTAAATATAGGTAAGCATCCCCTAATCTGAAAATTCAACATTCGAAATGCTTCAAAATCCAAAACTTTTTGGGTGCCAACCTGATGCTCAAAGTAAATACTCGTTGGAGCATTTAGGGGTTTCAGATTTTCATTTTAGGAGTGCTCAGCCAGTAGGCAGGTAGGCATATGCAGATATTTCAAAATCCAAAAAAATCTGCAACCTAAAACGCTTCAGGTTCCAAACATTTTGGAGAAGAGATACTAAACCTATATTATTATTATCTGTTTTTACATGTGAAGTAATTAAATTACATAGAAAATAAGTAATGTGCCCAAGCTCACATAGCTTATTAATGTCACTTTGAACCTAGGCAATCTGACTACAGAGGCTGGCAGTACTGTCTCAGGAATATATTTATTTTAGAAAATACAGAAAAGTTTAAAAAGAAAAACAGACTGGGCATGGTGGCTCACACCTGTAATCCCAGCACTTTGGGAGGCCAAGGCAAGAGAGTCAGTTGAGCCCAGGTTCCAGACCAGCCTGGGGAACACAGTGAAAACTCATTTATACAAAAATTTTAAAATTAGCCAGGCATGGTTGTGCACACCTGTAGCCCCAGCTACTCAAATGGCTGAGGCAGAAGGATTGCTTGAGTCCAGGAGGTTGAGACTGTGGTGAACTGCAGTGGCACCAGTGCACTCCAGCCTGAGCAACAGAGTAAGACCCTGTCAGACGGGGGGGGGGGGGAGAAAGAGAAAGAAAAACAACCAGCCACCATTCCATTACCTGGGGAATACCTACTAAGACTTTGTGTGTATATGAATTTGTTTGTTTTTCCCTAAAACTAGAATTGTAACGTGCATTCTATTTTGTAACCTGCTTTATTTTACTTATTTATTTGAATGTTATTCTAAAACATGATTTTGGCTGGACTAGGTGGCTCACACCTATAATCCCAGCATTTTGGGAGGCAGAGTGAAGAGGACTGCCTGAGCCCAGGGGTTCAAGAACAACCTCGTCTCTACAATAAATTAAAAAATTACTATAATCCCACGCCTTTGGGAGGCTGAGGTGAGTGGATTGCCTGAGCCCACGGGTTCGAGACCCACCTGGGCAACTTGGCAAGACCTCACCTCTACAATAAATCAAAAAAATTAGCCGGGCGTGGTAGCGTGCACCTGTAGTCCCGGCTACTCGGAAGGCTGAGGTGGAAGGATCGCCGGAGCCCAGCAGGTCGAGGCTGCGGTGGCCGGGAGCAGCCACATCCAGTCTGGGCAATGGAGTGAGACTCCAACTCACACACACAAAAAAATTAGCTGGGCATGGTGGCGTGTGCCTGTAGTTCTAGCTACTTGGAAGGCTGAGGGGGAAGGGTGGCTTGAGCCCAGCAGGTGGAGGCTACAGTGGCCGTGAGCGTGCCACTGTCCTCCAGCCTGGGTGACAGAGTGAGACTCTGACTCAAATTTTTTAAAAAAGGAACCCAACAATCACCTCCAAAAGGCATGATGTCGGTCCTATTTTCCCAGTCTCTTCTAGCTACCTTAGTCTTGGCTACCCCAGGCAGATAGTTTAGAGATAGAGCCCAATGTTTAGAGATGGAGTTTCCCCAAATTAAGTGGGGGAAGTGTAAGACCCATGTTCAAAAATAGAAAATTTAGAATTTTCGGCCAAGTGCGGTAGTTTATGCATATAATCCCAGCACTTTGGGAGACAGACAGGAGGATCACTTGAGGCCAGGGGTTCGAGACCAACTCAGGCAACATAGTAAGACCTCATCTCTGCAAAAATAAAAATAAAATAATCAATATATAATTTAAAAATTAAAAAAAGGAAAATTTAGAATTTCCTGTTTAAAAAAAGAATTCCCATGGAATAGGGCAGGAGACATCAGGCAAAGGAAGAGAGGTAGGCTTGGGGAGGTCAACGTTGCCCTCTGGACTACTCAAGTTAAGTTAGAGATGCTTGTGTCATCTGAGTAACTGTCAAGTAGACAGCTGGATATGCAGGTCTGGGGTGAGAAGGGAGATCTGGGATAGATATTTACATGTGGAAATCATCTGCGTATACATACTAATTGACCACTTTGAGGGTGCGGGAGCCTACTGGTGAGTGTAAGCCAATGAAATGAGAGCCAGAAATGAAACTCCAGGGCAGGAGATGGGTAGAGGAAGATAAGCCAGCAAAAGGTAGTAGGAATGCTGAAGTGAGAGAGACGAAAAGCCCAGTGACAAGCACTGTAGTACAGTGGTGAGAGTATTTGCATTACAGGAAGTAAAGCTAGCTGTGTGAGTTTGGACAGGTTTCTTAACGTCTGAGTCTATTTCCTTGTTCCAGCATGAAAATAATACCTGCTTTAGAGGACTGTTGTGAGGGTTGAATGAGAATATAATAAAGCCCCTCGCCATTCCCAGCAGAGAGGGGGTGCTCTGCAGGAGCCAGGGAAGACGGCCAAGGACATGGTCCCTTTGAGAGTTCAATGTTGGTGCGTAAAACGGAGACAGTCATTACCTGTCTCGCAGTGGTGTTTTGAGGTTAGTAACCCTGTAAGGAAAACATCTACTATAGGGCCAGTTAGTGCCCAGTCTTAGGACACAAGAAACCAGCATTTGAGTATTAGAATCAGACCTGGCCGGGCTCCATGGCTCAGCCTGTAATCTCAGCACTTTGGGAGGCCAAGGCAAGTGGATTGCCTGAGCCCGCAGGTTCGAGACCAGCCTGGGCAAGCTGGAGAGACTGCATCTCTACAATAAAATAAAAATTTTTTTAAAAACAGCCGGGCATGGTAGCACTCGCCTGTAGGTCTGGCTACTTGGAAAGCTGAAGCAGAAGGATTGCTGGAGCCCAGCAGGCCGACACTGGGGTGGCCGTGAGTGTGCCACTGCACTCCAGCCTGGGCAACAGAGTGAGACTTCAACTCAAAAAAAAAGAAAAAAAGAATCAGTCCTTTGCTGCTGGTCAATGACAGGATTATATCCTTGCCTCTAAGCCCTATCTCCAAGTCCTTTTCTTCCTGAGGAAATTTCTCTATTAGAAAATAAAACTGGGGGATAAAGACCATGCCTTTCCCCTAGAATAGTAAATTCAAATGTTAAGATATCTACACTTTGTGTTCTACTTTGTCCAGAACAAAACCATTTTAAACTAGTTAAAAAAGATAAGCCGGGCTTGGTGGCTCAGCCTGTAATCCCCCGCCTTTGGAAGGCCAAGGTGAGTGGATTGCCTGAGCCCATGAGTTCGAGACCCGCCCGGGCAACTTGGCGAGACCTCGTCTCTACAATAAATCAAAAAATCAGCCGGGTGTGGTAGCACGTGCCTGTAGTTCCAGCTACTCGGAAGGCTGAGGCGGAAGGATCGCTGGAGCCCAGTAGGTCGAGGCTGCGGTGGCCGGGAGTGGCCACTGCACTCCAGTCTGGGTGACAGAGTGAGACTCCAACTCAAAAAAAAAAAAAAAAGATAGTATGTAAGGAATCTATATGGGTATAAAGAATTACAGACTTACAGAAAGGTAGAAAATGAAAAGTAATCCTTCCCCTGCATCCAACCCCATTATCATGGAAAAGAAGTTAATAGGATAATCACTGTTAATAGTTTCTTGTCTATCATTCCCATTAACACGTGTACGTATATTTGTATCCCTCCCATACACACAATGGGCTTATGCCCTACGAAGCATTTGTGCTTAGAGTGCTTTTTCATTTAACATTATCTCTTGGGGATCTTTTTTTTATCAGCGCAGATAACTCTTGTTCTTTTTAACAACTGCATAGTGTTCCTTTATACTATGTGACAACTTAAGCAGCCTCCTACTGATAGACATTGAGGCTTTTTCCAGGTTGTGCTATTACAAATGCTAGAGAATATCCTTGTGTATGGACGAGTTCATTTGTGCAGTATAGAGTTAGGATAAATTCCTACTGGATAAAAGAGTATGTGTGCTTTAAATGTTGATATTATCAAGTTATACTCCAAAAGAGGGCCGCCTCCCCAGTGTGTATGGTGGTGTCCGGTCCCCCAAGCCCACCCAACAACCTTAAAAGTCTGATAATATAATAGATAAAATTAGCATCAGCTGGGCTCGGTGGCTCAGCCTGTAATCCCGTGCCTTGGGAGGCTGAGGTGAGCGGATTGCCTGAGCCCACAGGTTCGAGACCCGCCTGGGCAATTTGGTGAGACCTCATCTCTACAATAAATCAAAAATTAGCCGGGCGTGGTAGTGTGCGCCTGTAGTTCCAGCTACTTGGAAGGCTGAGGTGGAAGAATCACCGGAGGCCAGCAGGTCGAGCTGCGGTGACCGGGAGTGGCCACTGCACTCCAGTCTGGGTGACAGAGTGAGACTCCAACTCAAAAAATAAATAAAATTTAAAAATAAAAATAAATAAATAAAAATTAGCATCTAGCTTTAATTAGTTCCTTAATTGTAAGTTGGGGTATTTTTATCATATAATTGTATTGAAATCATATTTCTGTTCCTGCTCTTTGCTCAATTTCCCTTCTGTTTTTAAAAATAGTATTGATCTTGCCGGGCATGGTAGCTCACGCCTATAATCCCAGCACTTTAGGAGGCTGAGGTGAGAGAATTGCCTGAGCCCACAGGTTCGAGACCAGCCTGGGCAACTTGGTGAGACCTCATCTCTACAATTAAAAAAAAAAAAAAAAAATAGCTGATCATGGTGGTGCATGCCTGTAGTTCCAGCTACTTGGAAGGCTGAGGCAAAAGGATTGTCTGAGCCCAGCAAGTTGAGGCTGCAGTGGCTGGGAGCCTGTCACTGCACTCCAACCTGGGCAACAGAGTGAGACTCTGACTCAAAAATATAAAATAAAATAATGAAAAAAAAATAGTATTGATCTTATTGATAAGTAATGTCTTTTGGCATGAGGGAAATGAACTGTTTGTCTATTGTCCCCAGCAAATATATTTTCCAAGTTTGTTTTTGTACTTTATCTCTGGAACTTTTTTCTCCACAGCAGCCTTGAACCTTTACCTTCAGATTTATCAGTCTTTCCCTTTCAGCTTCTCCCCCACGCTAAGATTTTAAAAATCCAACAGTGTCTTTTCTTACTAGTGAACTGCCGTCTGCTTTTTCCATTAGCATGTTTGATCCACCTAACATTGACCAGACTCCCCTGGGTGATCCTGGCACCCACCAAGCAGTCCTCCTCCCACGCTGTCACTCACCGGCCTCAGCACCCGGCGCACCTCACGGAGGATCTGCTCCTGGTCCTTCACCGAGCACAGGACCAGGGTGCAGACCACCACGTCCACTGAGCCGTCGGCCACCTGACGCATGTCCTCCCCGGCGGCCACCACGAAGCGCTCGAACTGCAGGTGTCGGTTCTCGGCGACGCTCTTGATCAAAAACTTCTCGAAGTTGGGGTTGGGGTCGACACAGGTCACCCTGCACCCGGGTGGGTAGAACTTGAAGTTGGCCCCGGTGCCACAGCCCACCTCCAGCAGGGAGAGCTTCCCGGAGGGGTCTGCGAACTCCTGCAGATTGCTGAAGAGCTCCCGCTTCCTGCTCGCCATCTGCTCGTTGTACATCACCGTGAACCTGACCAAGAAGTAGGGGAAGCACTTCTTGCATATCCAGCTCCACAGGCCCAGAAAGTTCAGCAGGTACATGGGAAAGGCCAGGATGCAGACGGCCAGCCGGAGCACAGGGACGACGAGCGCCATCCCTCCGCAGAGAGGAAACCCAGGGCCACAGCGAGAGCCCCTTTAACTGCGGGAGGCAGGTTCCTGGCCACACTCCAGAGCCAATCCGCCTGCAGAGGCAGAAAGAACTGGCTGTGCTGAAAAGACCTTGCTAGAGTCCATCGCGGGCAGGAAGCCCATTTGGCCTCATTAGCAGACGTTTGGCAGAAATCGACTCAGCTTAGTTTTCACCAAGTGAAATGAGAGGGCGCCCAGCGTTACCTTAGGAAAGTTGATGACAATCCTCTATTCCAAGCCCATTCCTGTTTCCTCTCCTCTGGGTTTGGAGACGACTGCTGGTTTCCTGCGGGAGTTTTATAAGCACAGTGAACTTGCACCCCGCTGGTCCTCCAGTGACCTTTATCAGGAAAACAGACTCCGTGGGTGGAGCCTGGGTAAACTGCACCAGAAGGTGCAGTCAAAGGTCCCTTTAAAATAACACGCCCGCCTCTTTCTATTCTCTCCCTCCCAAACACCACTCCCCTGGCCGGTCCCTAACCCCAAGTCTTGTTTTTTTTAAAGAGGAAGTGAAAGGACAGGCCTGCCTGGACACGGGCAGAGACAAGTCCCCCTTTCACACTCTGGGCCAAGGCTCTCAAGTGTTCATAATTCAGTAACAGGATTATGCATAAATCAATGTCTTGGGCCATGCATCTTTTACAGGGCAGGTCAATCTTCACATTGTGCCTGATCACAGTTTTACTCAGCTAATTTAGATAAAAAATATTCCCTAGGCCGGGCTTGGTGGCTCAGCCTGTAATCCCAGCACTTTGGGAGGCCAAGGTGAGCAGATTGCCTGAACCTGCGGGTTTGAGACCAGCCCAGGCAACTTGGCGAGACCTCGTCTCTACAATAAATCAAAAATTAGCCAGGCGTGGGAGCACGGGCCTGTAGTTCCGGCTACTTGAAAGACTGAGGCAGAAGGATCGCTGGAGCTCAGCAGGTCAGGGCTGCAGTGCACTCCAGCCTGGGTGACAGAGTGAGACTTCGATTCAAAAAAAAAAAAAATCTGTCCATTTTAATGTACCACATTTGCAGATTATAGACTATCTCAATAGATAAGAAAAGTAGTTGATAAAATTCAACATTTTATTCATATTAGTATTTCTGCATGCAGATGGCAGTCATATGCTTCTGTCTGCTCACCTGAGTGCCAACCCCATAGCCTCATTACCTTCCAGACATTTCCATTTAGATGGCTCACCTTAGATTCAAACTGTCTTAAACCAAATCCATTTTCTTCGCCTCTCCTCTAATTCTGTGAGGTCAATTAATAATATTATCATTTTCTAAGTCACTAAGCCCTAAATTTTTTGTACAATTTTTGTTATGATAAAGTATACATAATGTAAGACTTACCATCTTAATCATTTTTAAGTTTGCAGTTTAGTAACATTAAGTACATTTGCATCGTTCTGCAATCAACCTCCAAAACTCTTTTTGTCTTGCAGAACTGCAACTCTATACCCATTAAGTAATGACTCCCCATTTCTTCCCCTTCCTAACCCCTGAAAACCACCGTTCTGCTCTTTGATTCTATGAATTTGACTATTTGAGATACTTCATATAAGTGGAATCATGTGATATTTTTCTTTCTGAAACTGGCTTGTTTCACTTAGTATAATGTCCTCAAGGTTTATCTATATTGTTGTGTATTGCACAATTTAATGACTCAATAGTATTCCATCGTATGTATAGACCATCTTGGTTTACCAGTTCATCTGTAGATGGACATTTAGGTTGTTTCCATATCCTGACTATTGAGTAATGCTGGATCACATGGTGACTCTATTTTTTTTTTTTTTTTTTT